GGTGGTGGTGGTGGTGTGTGTGTGTGTGTGTGTGTGTGTGTGTGTGTTACTACACAGGCCAGAAGAGGGCACCGCATCCCTCCAGAGCTGGAGTTATGGGCAGATGTGAACCACCCAGTGTGAGTACTAAGAACCCAGCTGGGGTCATCTGGAAGAGCAGGAAATACTCTTAACTACTGAGCATCTCTCCAGCCCCAGCATGCTGCCACTTTAGAGTATGTCCAGTAAAAGTACTTAAAGACACTGCTTTTCCTTCTGCAGGTGCTTGTGGAGGATTCCTGGTGACGGGAGACACTCCCATCTATCTTTTCTCCCCGGGTTGGCCTCAATCCTACAATAATAGTGTTGACTGTACATGGCTCATCCAAGCTCCTGAGTCTACTGTGGAACTCAACATCCTCTCCATGGACATCGAATCTCACCAAAGATGTGCCTATGACAGCCTGGTCATTAGAGATGGTGAGAAACATTTTTTAAAATTTTATTTATCATTTTTATTTTACGTGCATGTGTGTATTGCCTGCATGTAGGTAAGTGCACCTGTGTCGTGCAATGCCTGTGGAGGTCAGAAGAGGCTGTCGAATCCCCTGGGACTGGGGTAAAATTAACCTTTCAGTCAGGCATGGGGCACATACCTTTAATCCCAGCCCATAGGGAGGCAGAGGCAGGAGGATCTGAGAGACTGAGGCCATCCTGGTTTACATAGCAAGTTCCAGGCCAGTTGGAGCTATCGGCAGACTCTTTCAAAAAACCAAAAAGGAGAGAAAAATAAATGCTGTTCCAACTCTAATGGACACACTGATGTACTGTTTCCATCCATTTTGTATGGGATTCCATAGACGCTGTGATCAATGAAGCCATCAACAGCAGATATAGCTACAATGTCTAGAGACTGTAGGGAGAGTGCTAAAGTGCCAGTCACAAATGTCAAGGATATCCCATTCCTAAGAGAAAATGAAGGCTATGTGAGAGGCCTAAGTAGGAGACATAGTCTGAATTTTCAGATTGTGCTACATTTTTATTGATATCATAGAAATAGATATTGACATTTTGTGCCTATAGCTTTAAGATCCAAGTCAAACACTGAAAATTTTCTGTAATTATAATATAGTCATTTCTCAGTGTTCCCTGCGTCTGTGGGTAGGACAGATAGAATCAAGACGAGTGCGAGTGTTCTCTTAAACACACAGGTGTGGTATTGCTGTACAATAACAGTGGGTCAAGAACAATGCTAATATAGAGTTTGTGCAGAAGGGCCCTTCCCGTTCTGCATGGGCTGAGCACAGAAGGACAATATTGAGGTCACACACTCTACATCAGTGTTTGTCAGTTGTCCCCAGACCAACAGCATTAACATCACCTAGAAACTTACTGTATATACAGGTTGTCAATAAAAACGTGTGCTTACATTTGTCCTAATATGCAAGGCATTGCCTCCTTAGATTCCCATCCCTACAAAACCCTCCAAGAGAGCATAGTCCAGTGGTGGAGGCATGCATCTCCAGCTAAGAGGCTGGGCACTAAGAAGCATTCAAATCAGACACACCAACTTGATGCCACTAGAGACCTGACCCTCCCGCTTTTCCCTATGAGCCATCAGCTATCAATCAGCACACTGTCCAGAATGCTTAGTCTTTTCTGACATCAAGCCATCCCTGAAGATACTAAATTTCAATGTGTGTGTGTGTGTGTGTGTGTGTGTGTGTGTGCATGTGTAATTCAGTGTGTACATCATTGCAGAAACATTCTGAGTGTTCACAAGACAGAAGTTTTAAGAAATCTTCCATAGGGAACTGTATCAATGAAGTAGTTGTGGTTGTTCTTTAAAAATCAAATCTATTGAGTTGTTTTTCATCTAATCAATAACTTGTCTTGGAAGCCTAAACTCCAGGGAGGATTCCCTTTCTTCTGACTGACCTTGCACAAGCCTGTTTTATCATCTGTGAAAGAGAGATGAATGCCACTCCCGAGGGCTTTTTGCGAGAATCTGAGAAAGCAATACATGTGAAATTCTAGCGGACGTCTCAGCATTTCGAAGAGGCAGAATTCAGAATAGCTTGTTTCACTTTGTTCAGGTAGACGGTGCTGAGAGCTTGATCTGTGTTCTTGCTCATAGGGTGACTTGAAAGAACTCAGAAATTGTGGTTTGTCCAAAACAAAAATATGTTTTATACCATCTAGGTAACAAATTCATAAGGATTCTTTTTAATTATTTATGGCACGAATAGAGGGCTTGTGGCTCTCTTCTTTCCTTCCTTGTTTGTTTATTTGCTCTTTCAAAAAATATTTTTCTAGTATGGGTGGTGTGTCAGTTGGTGGGTATTTTGTCCATTTGTGTTATGTTAATATTTTTTAGAATTATAGTTTATTTCCTCTTTAGTTAAATTATTGGGTTTTCTTCCCCCCCCATCAATTATTTGCTTCTGATTAGCTGGGCATATGACATTCTGGAGCTAATATCTAAAGCTCATAGGCCACAGGCAGTGACACAGATGATGTGTGTCCTGGGTCCTTGGCCATCACATAGCTGTGAGCTGTGGGTTGTTCAGAAAGGGTCTGGAAGCATCTTGAGAAGATGAGCCAGAGTCACATACCCTGCTCGTTCACTTTCATTGTCTGTAATGGAAACAGTTTCCTCCAGACAGGGCACATCAAACTTTCATACCAAAGACCCCCTCCAAACCTATTTCTACAGAAAAAAATGTTTTTCAAAGAAGGGAAAAGAAAGAGAGGGAGAAATGAATAAAAGAGAGAGGAGGTGGGAGTGGGGGGAAAGAGAGGGAGGAAGGGAGGTAGAAAAATTCAGTAATTCTGACCTGGGGATGTTGATTATTTAGCAGGTGCTTGCCTGGCATGTTACAAAGTCAATCCCCAGCACCTCACACTTATAATCACAGCACTCAGAAAGTGGAGGCAGGTAGACCGGAAGTTCCAAGTCATTCTTTGCTGCATAGTGAGCTCAAGCAGCCTGGGATAGAGGACCCTGTCTCAAAAAAAAAAAAAAAATTATCTAGTCCCAGGTCTGAAATACACTTTTGAAAAATGATCTCAGAGTAACTGAGATCAGAGTCTCTGATTACCACTCACATAAGCACAAGGCCTGGTCACTTAGGGGTCTGGAGAGATGACTCAGTGGTTAAGAGCACTGACTGCTCTTGCAGAGGACCCGGGTTCAGTTCCCAGTACCCACATGGCAGCTAACTACTGTCCATAAGTACAGTTCCAGAGGAATCCAACGCCCTCTTCTGACCTCCACAGGCACTGCACGACACAGGTGCACTTACATACATGTAGGCAATACACTCATACACATAAAATAAAATAAAAATATTTTAAAAAATGACTTTAGACAATTCAATAAAGAAAGTTTGGGGTATCTGGAGTTAATCCGCCAGGATGACATGTACATACAATGACACAAATAATCCAAAATTTTGTAGCTTTGGTAATTAAAGAATAAGTCAATAAAAATAATACTGGAAGAAACATATGTCAGAATAGCATCATGGAGATAAGTGAAAAGGGAATTTATACATTTTGAATTATGAAAAGCCTGAGTTTTTAAGACTGAAAGATGGCTCAGTAGGTAAAGTGCTTGATGTGTAAGCAGAAGGGCCTGAGTTCAACCCTCACACCTGTGTAAAAAGCTAGGCGTGGTGGCACACACAGAGCTGGGGGAGCAGAGACAGGTGGACCCTGAGACGTGCTGGGCAGTCAGCCTAGCCTAACAGGCTAGCCCCAGGTCACAGTGAAGAGACCTTGTCTCAAAAAACAAGGTGGATTGCTTAGAGGTTGACTCCTGACCTCTGAACACACACATGCAGACACACAAACTTATACAAACACATTTGCACACATAAAGAATGAAAAGCCAGAGTTTTCCAGGCTAGCCCCAGGTCACAGTGAAGAGACCTTGTCTCAAAAAACAAGGTGGGTTGCTTAGAGGTTGACTCCTGACCTCTGAACGCAGACATGCATGTATATCTACAGACACACAAACTTATACAAACACATTTGCACACATAAAGAATGAAAAGCCAGAGTTTTCAGAGGTGAGAAGCTCTCTAAAGAATGCTTTTCCAAGCTTCTCATAAAAAAATTTATATTTATGACTATGCTGTTGTAGTCATAATTACGTAGAAAATAGAAACTAACTTGTTTTCAAAAGTTAACAGCAAATAAATTTTAAGTAGTGGTCAGTATCTAAAAAAGTCTAATTTTACTGGTTGTCTTAAAGAGCAAATTTCTTTATGTCCTAAAATCTATTCTTATTTTTTATAAAGTTGAAATTTGTAAGTTCTCTGACTTTGGGGGAAAAATAAGTGTTTTCCCAGCCAAGGAATCTGCGCCTGCTGTAATGTTTTATCCCATTCAGCAATTGGCAGAAGGTAAACTTTGGGTCTCTTTTTTCATGGGGAATCTCACTTATTGAAACCATCTGTTCTTATCCTCCATGCTAGTGTGTTCCTTTTGCCGCAAAACAAAACAAAGTAAAACAAAGAAATTACAAAAAAAAAAAAAACAAAAAAACTCTAGTGGGGCTGAAGAAATGGTCATGTAAGTCTCTTGGTGAATATCCTCATAATACTAGCCTAGGATCTGAGGCCGAGGCCACCAACCTGTTCTCTCCCCTTTAAACACCTGACCGTCAGCCATCAGAGTTACTGAGATCAAGGTCTCTGATTACCACTCACATAAGCACAAGGCCTGGTCACTTCCCAATCTTGTCCCCACATTCTGAGTTTTAAGAGTCAAGGAGAACTGGAAATCGGTTTAAAATCAGTGGGAATTTCCCCAAAAGTCTTTATTGAAGAGGGTAAAAAAATGGCAGGTGGCACCACAGCAAGCTGGAACCAGAATGGCATAACCCTGGAGTGTCCCTTATTCGAGAACACTGTTATCTTCTAGGAACTCTGGTCTTCTGAGAAGACTATATGAGTGGTTTTGACTGGGTTGCAAACTATGGTGTAATTTTTCTCAAGACTGTATTTTTGCAATGACATTTCCTGTGTTTGGTCATAGGAGACAATAACATAGCCCAGCCGCTGGCCATCCTCTGTGGCAGAAACATCCCCGGGCCCATCCGATCTTCGGGAGAGTACATGTTCATCCGTTTCACCTCTGACAGCAGCCTCACTAGGACAGGCTTCAACGCATCCTTTCACAAGAGTAATGTGTCCAGACATTTGCCATTTAATCTTATCCCCTCCCTTCCCATACCCTGCCCTCCCTCCCTCATCCTCTCCTTCCCTCCCCTCTCTACTTCTCTCTTCTTCCCTGCCTGTTCCCTTCTCTTCCTTCCCCTCTTCCTTCCCCTCTTCCTCTCCCCTCCT